AAATATTAGGAGAAATATTAGGAGAAATATTAGGAGAGAAATATTAGGAGAAATATTAGGAGAAATATTAGGAGAAATATTAGGAGAAATATTAGGAGAAATATTAGAAGAATTATTAGGAGAAATATTAGGAGAAATAGGAGAAATATTAGGAGAAATATTAGGAGAAATATTAGGAAAAGTATTAGGAGAAATAGGAGAAATATTAGGAGAAGTATTAGGAGAAATATTAGGAGAAATATTAGGAGAAATATCCGAGCGTACGACCGGGAAGTATGTAAAACCCGGACTGCTGTGTTCATAAAACAAAGTCCGGACTGACATGTAAAAGCCTAGTAAACGGACAAATCCGGGACTATGAAACGTATTGTAATCCTACGCAAAATGGTATTTCTTTTTTTGATTTTAAAAGAAAAGTGTTGGATTAGTCATGAGACCTTATGTTGTTTCCGAATTTAGTCAACATAAGTTTGTAGGGGTGTCTATTTGTCGTTAGCTTAGACTTTAGACTTATCCGCATTTGTAATTCTGAATTTAGTCAACATCAGTATTTAGCCCACGGGTTCCCAACCTGGGGGTCGCGAAGGGCTTTCTGGGGGGTCGCCAACTGGTATACTAAACCTTAGTAATTTGAAACAAAACATAAATATTTAGAAGAATTTTTGAAATTCGGCTTTACTAACATCACTGGAAGAAGCAAAGCGTACTGTAAAAAGTTGTTCTCAGTCACGAGTTTATGAAATCTTCAAAACTAAAACGTCATTTGACATGAGTCATTCGAAACACACCAAAAAAGATATGGAGTTCTTTCGTCGGTAAGAAGCTAGTTGCAAACGCCAGAGACTTGATCGAACAGGAAGTTTTCACCAAGGAAACACAGCATTAGTGCAAACATCACATGAAGTCGCGACAGAAAATGCCAAGCAAAAAAAAAAAAACACAATAGGAGAAAATCTCATCAAACGCTGCATGTTGAAGATGGTGAAGTTAATTCTTACATGTCCGTAGATGTTAAATAACACATTTTTATTGAAATCAAGCTTTCACCATTGTTTGCTTTTCAAGTTGATAAATCAACAGACGCGAGTTCGTGTTCGCAGTTGCTGGTCTTTGTCTATATTTATTCAGATGATAGCAAAGAAGAGTTGCTCTTTTGTGAAGATAGCATGGAGAAAATAAAAACGTTTTTTTTTAAAAATTAGATTATTAAAATGGGTTAAAACGGCTGTGAGGGTTTGTACGGATGGTGCACCATCTATGGTTAGGTCAAAATCGGGCTTTCAGAAAGCAGAAAAGATTTAGCTCCCTAACCACTGCCCTCACCAATCGCCATTAAGAGTCCATTGCTAGTATAAGTCGTAAATTATATAAAATCTGGAGCCTTCAAAGAACTGAGCAAAAACATTAATATAGATCACGAGGTTCTGCTCTTCTACACTACAGTGCGCTGGCTGTCAAACGAATTGTTGTAAATCGTGGTTTTTAATTGAAATCTGAAATCAAATTGTTCTTGGAAGTGCAAAGGAAACAAGACCTTTTGGTATACTTAAAACGACATAGAGTGGTTGGAGAGAGTATCATACCTAGCAGATGTGTTCGTACATCAACATAAGCATAACCTGAAGCTTCAGGGAAAATGAACGAATATTATCACTTTCCATGATAATCTCGGGGCATTTTTATCAAAGCTGCAAAATCGGCGAAGAAAATAAATCTTGGAAATATTGTTAATTTGAGAAACTCTGCAGTGTGGTAGATGAATCTAATTGTGAGATAATTAAAATTTTGAAAGAAGAAATTTCAAGGCATCTTGAATCTATTGAAAACGAACTGCAGCGCTATTTCTCTGAGCTGAAAAAAAAAAGAATCTGTATTGACGCATTATCCATTCTCTTCTTCCCTTGATGTTGTCAGCATTCCAGTGAATTACAAGATGAATTCTTTGATTTGTAGAATGATTCCGCGTAAGATGAAAAACTTCAGACACAATTTTGGTGTAGTATTAACCGTTTATATCCAAACGTAAAATTGATTGACTTTTCGAGAATATAATTTTATTGTGAACACTATTTTTCAATTAAAAACAAAATTAAGATAATGATAATGACATAGGTTGGCGTTAACAAAAAAATACTTTTAAAAAAATTAACCGCGAATGTTAGTTAATAGTATGCAATTTTACTCATGGTATTAAAACAGTTATCAAGAGTAGTTCATATTGAAAGTCTACTAGAAAATCTTATTTTAGTGCTTATTATTTCCATACAAATTTCGGCTTTTTAATTCTATGGGGGTCGCGGGTCACTTAATTTCTATAAAAGGGGGTCGCCACTCGAAAAAGGTTGGGAACCACTGATTTAGCCTATAACTAAGTTGTTAGACATATCACAGTCTAATAGGTATAAAACATCGAACCCGTTCAGGGTCGATTTATTGATACTGTGTTTTTTTTTCTCCAAATAGATAAAGCACCCTTTTTTTTAGGAAAATACTACTAAGATGTTGTCAGTGTGGGAAAATGTCCCTCATCAAAACTTGCAGGCATTTTTACACTAATATAAAGTCGGAGCATGGGACGGCGTGGCCTAAGCGGTAGGGTGCTAGGCTGCTAGCATGAAAGTCTCGAGTTTGAGTCCGGGTCCAAGTCAGTAGAACATCCCTGAGTTCATCCAGCCCTGCTGGGTACCTAACTCATGTTAGGGAAAGTAAAGGCGGCTGGGCAAATTGTTAACCATACCATACCTTCACATGCCGAAGTTAAGAAACACATGAACTCTACTTAGATTATTTACTTTTTGGTCTACTGACAATAGTGACATGCCCATTTTTTTTTTTTTTTTATTTAAGTTTTTCTGAAACTTGTTATGTATAAATTGTATGATGTTAGTCCAGGGGTCGGCAACCTTTTGAAGCGGAAGAGCCAAAAGTTACAATTTTCAAAATTCCCCTGGTTTTAAAGAGCCACTAACATTTTTTTATTTCAAATATTTTATTTATTGATTAAGATTATTAGTATTTGAGCAAGGAGCTGGAGAGCCGCATCTTGATATCAAAAGAGCCGCATGCGGCCCGCGAGCCGCAGGTTGCCGACCCCTGTGTTAGTCAATAGTGACCGATCATACTATTAAATAAAGGTATAGTTTTTACCCAAGCATACAATTTCAACTTATTGTCAATTTACATAAATATTATTATTAATATTTGTGTAAACTCAATTACAATATTGTGTTTAGCTTTTAGTTTTGTATTTTAATTTAGTATGTATTTACACAATCTTTTACAATATTTTATTGCCTGCATTGCTTTTGTATAATTATAGTAATAATCAACATGGTGCATATTGTGAAGTTGAAATATTTTCTAGATTCTCTGTCTAATTTATTAATGCAAGAGAAATATGAGTTTTTTCCCTTGGACAAATTTATTGCAAAGGGAAGTAATTCTTTTTGCGGAACACAATGTTGGCCTATAATAATAATGTTAAGCTAAACAAAGCCATAACCTCAACAGGCGTAGAAACTTAAATTGAAGCTTCAATCTAAAATTAAAACTAAATCCTATGCCTTCAACTCAATGTTAACATTAATTTAGTATGCGTTTGTTTTGGTGTGGTATGTGAAATATGCGGGTTCCCAGAAAAATCGAAAACTGAAAACTGCGCAAACAGAAAAATGTGCAAATATGCAAATATGGTCGTAGATGGTAGATAAGCAACTGCAACGTCCAAGTCATTAGCAGCCTGGGGTTTGAATGCCACGGACACAGGTACAACTACCCAGAGTCCCAGAGGTCACATGACTTGGGAACACGGGGAATATCGCTCACAGAAGAGCATAAAAAAATACATCAACCAAATAAATTATAAATTATCCCCCCTGACTGGTAACCATGGTATGTGTTACAATACATTTAAAGAAAATCATTTATTTTCTACTTTTTAGAAATGTTAGAAAACGAATTTTAGCCGTTTTAGAAAACGGTTTTAATAAATTAAAATACTCTATGTTGACACAGTCCAGACAAGATTTTGGAAAAATATCGACGTTTTAAGACAAATTCAGCTGTAATTTTGATGGGGGTTGTAGGTTGAGATGTGACGTCATTTTAGGGGGGGGGGAGGTCGCGCTTTTTGTGACGATGTGTGACGGAGGGGAGGGGGAGGTAAAAATCGTCAAAAAAGCGTGACGTCATTTATGGATGACCCCCTTAAAAGAAAAAAAAACGAAGGTTATAGATAGTTTCAAATGGGGATCCGGACAAAAGGCCGACATGGACAAAAGGCCGACAAGACAAAAGGCCGACAAGACAAAAGGCCGACAAGACAAAAGGTCGACAAGACAAAAGGCCGACAAGACAAAAGGCCGACATCCAAAAGGCCGACAAGACAAAACGTCTGGATGTCGGCCTTTTGTCCTACACCCTTTCAAATGGTCAATGTTTTGGAGCTTGCCAATAAACGATGCTATGTGTTTTAGGAAGATAATCAGTTTCTTTCATAAAACAACAAAATAACCAGTGTTCGCCATCCCCTCCTGAAATTTAAGTCTGCCCCTGAAAGTTTAAAATATCGTCGTTCCCCCCCCCCCCCTCGCTTCCAGAGAGTGTAAAGTCATTAATAGATGACCACTAGCGGAGATTAAAAAAATATAGGCCTACATACATATATTTAACACTAATAATTAACAGGGCGCCCCTAAATAACACAATAATAGAAAATATAATATCCCAACTCCTCAATCTTTGTTTAGGTTTGTGCACGTTAATTTCAAAATACAATCACATAAGAAAGGAAGCAAAAACATTAAAGGACACGAATCCATGTTATTTTTTTAAAATTAATAAATGTTGTAGAATCTATGTCAGAATTTAAAAATAAAATAGATATAAAGTATTGTTTATAAATATATTTGTATTTTATTTTTTGAAATGTATTTTTAAATATTTCATTTTTAAAATAAACATCTAATCCAACATTTATTTTATCTAAACAACAAATTTGTTTAGACATGGCGGAACAAGTTGCAGATAGATCAAGATCTAGTAGTTATTTCGTTGAAAAGGAACAGTAACAAATAGCCTTATAAAATCAAGACCTAGATCTAGATCTACTTAATTTGAAAATGTTTGAGATAAAAGTTTTTAGGATTTTGCAGATTACATTTGTACTGGTTCTTTTTGAACTCACAGGAGCACAAATTAAAAAAGGTTGAAATTTAAAAAATAAAATCTAGATCTAGATTCTAGAATCTAGATCTATCTAGTATCTAGTTTAAAATAGTGCCCTAGGTCCTAAATGCTCGTCTACGTAGTCTACCAATTAGATCTACTCATTTTATAATCTATGTGTGCTAAACAATATTATTATTCCTAAACTATATTTGCTTATTATACACTCTGTAGTCTGTAGTATGTGGGTTTCTGTAACTTCAATATATTTAAACTAGCTGCATACCCATGCTCCACCATGGTGAATCCTTTTTAAATGTACCAACTTGGGAACAGAACAAAACTAAACACAACACAAACACAACAAACAAATGCAAACAAAAACAAGAAATGACGTCATCGATACTCTATAATAAAAAGACTGACATAACGGCCTAATTCATGTGTGGAATCTTAAAAGTAGTTTGTGTGTACAGTTTCAATAATTTATCTCTTGGGGTAGGGGTAAAGCCCCTTCTCCCTCCCCCCCCCCCCTCGCGGTAGTCATACTAATCCCCCCCCCCCCCCCCCCAAAAAAATATGATTTATATAGAAAATATATACTATTCCCAGTGTCGGCTCCCCCGCCCCGGAGAATTGTTTTAGCCCCTGCAAAAATTCAAGTGCCCCACCCCAGATAAATGTCTGAAAGAAACACTGTCTAAGTGAGTGAGGTGTATCACGGCCAAAAGTAGGAAACGAGTCGATATTATAAAAGTAGGCTATACCTAAAATACCTTTAGTTTGTATAATCTACAAATGCGATAATTGTTCCTTTCAGGCTTTTTCCTCGCTGGAGGGGGGGTTGAGGGGGGGGGGGGGGCGGTACTTGAAATTTTCTGGGATAGGTAGGGATGGACTAAATTTTCTGAGAGGGGGGAGACACTGATAAAAGTATGTAATTCTATTTCGTTGAATGGGACAGGAGATGCGCCTTGGGATGTGTGTCTGGGGGGGGGGGTGGTTTAATCCCGCCCTACAAGTAGAGTCACATGAAAGAAACTCTAAATGCGACTTTTGTCATGATTGAGACTAAGTGCAAGGTTTACGGGTATGGATACGACTACTTTTAGTATCAATGCACAGTAGTAGATCAAACTTAAATCCAAATAAAATGACAATTCTGGATAAAAATCCGTTTTCAATGTCATTTTTCGTTTCCGGTTCAATTTGAAGTTAAGGTGGTGGCTTTGGTTTTGGTTTAGTTTAGAGAAAAGAGACAATACTATCAACCTAGCGCCCGTTGTATCCATCATCAATTAAAAAAGGTTGAAATTTTAAAATTTATCTCGTTACTAATATGCATGTATTTCTTTAACTAATGCTTTATTTAAGACCTAGATTGTTTAGTTTGGGTGTTGGTAAAGTGTAAGCTGAAGAATTTAAAAATTGTTTCTATGTATAGTAAAAATGAACAAGATTTTCTTGGCTTACTTTACTACATATTATACATTAGTCAACTGAGGTAGAGATTAGCATTATGCAGAAGCTCTTTGGGTTTTTTCTCCTGCTGACAAGAAAATTAAACAGGCGGTCACATATACAGATTTCTTAAACACGATTGTTAACAATCCGCAACTTCAAAAAAACCAAACAACTAGATCTAGAGAATCTACTGAATTTTTAAAAAAAATTATTAAAAAAACCCACTCATGATATCGCAAATCTCACTAACAGCCTAGAAAAAAACATTAAACCAAAAACATTAAACTAACAGAAAATTTATTCCAAATTTTGTCTAGATATTTTACTGTAATTTTGCAGGTTTGTCTCACATTTTCTTCTTGCATATTACAGACTTTCAGTTTTGTGTGTCACATTTTACCATTACCCCTTTTGTTAAAGTAACGTCACCCTCACCTGAACTGTATCGAATCGCATTGATATTTACTCAGTCCAGTGTTAAACCAACATTACATGTTTTTAAAATTTACAATTTAAAAAATTCTCAACTTAAAATTTCAATGTCATGTTACATTTTATTGTAAACAAAAAAAAGTCTTTAAAATAAAAAACAGATAATGGATTCAACTTTTGTGATTTGAATTAAAGATATTTCAAATCGGACAGTTTAATTATCTTGCCGCTTCAGTCAAGCAATCTTATTTTTTAAATAGCCTATATAGTAGTATATAGCTACTAATTTAATTTTAATATGTTTCAGATATCGGTAAAATCTATATTGGTACAGAAAACACCACTACAGGTCTCCCAAACACAAAAGATTATGTGTTTTATTTTAATGACCCAAATCCTCCACCTATTTCTGTTTACGCTGTAGTACTGAGTGGAGCAGATCCTAAAATTCGTGTCCCAAAGATACAGGATGTAAGTGTTAACTTAGCACAATTTTCATAGTTCTCAGTTCATGCTACAAATATGAATTCCTTGCTTGCAATACTTTAACCATTTTAAACCATTACCCCCTTTTTTAGTCGTCAGTGTCTTAAATCATCTTTTCTGCAGACCAATCGGTCTGAGACTCCTTACCCCAGATTAACAGTCGGTAGATAAAATCTGATATTAATAAAAGGACGTCACTATTACTATTTGTCTCATGTTAGAATTCTATCATGGCTGCTTCCATAGACGAAATGAATTTTTTGTTTATCATTTGCTATTTTGAGATAGAAAGACTGTTTGAAAATTCCAATAATCGGCATTCTACCTATGTCCGCACATACTTATGTCCGAAAGAAGGGTCTAAGTAGAACTATTGGCAATGATTCATGCACAACTGCTCATTAAAATAATAAATCTAAGCTTGCTTATATATTCGTAGTCTTCATTGTTCAATATGAGTATGTTGTGTGTACGTTTTGCGTAGGAGCCCAGGGAACAGGGATTGAAGGGTCATGAGCTAAGGTTTCAATATGTTAATGTAATGGGATTGATAGAATTGTTTTAGAAGAATTGTTTAGAATTTGAATAATTAAATACAAGGTTTGATTTCCGTATGATAGAAAACATCAGTATAGCAGTTAAAAAAAAAGTTTTTTATTCACAGATCAATATAACCTGCAGTGTGTCAGAGAAAGGGACTGGATTCTCAGACGTTTCTTTACAAAGCATTAAATTGCTAGCTTCTGTTAACACAACTGATATTTCGTTGAGGTAAAGTTTTTACCTCCTTGATTCAAGTTCTATTTGTGTAAAAAAAAGTATTTTTTATTTACTTCTTATAATAATCTTACTTAATTCCTTACATAACTAAAATTAAAAAAAAAATTGTTTCTCTATAGCCTGATAAAACCAGGACGTTCTGTTCAGCTAACCTGCTCTGGTGTGTCAGAACAAGGAACATGTAATGCAACAGATGTTCAGTCTCAGTTTTGTCCTGAAACATCAAAGTCTAATTCAGTGTAAGTTACAGTCATATATATGTACAAGTTGCAGGGTACAAATCCAGATAACTTGTGTGTTATGTGATTTATACATTGTCTTGTGATGTTATTCCATTACTAGTTTTTATGACTTAGCTAATGTCTTTCTCGTTGTTTTAATTTGTTGTTTGAAATTGTTGTTTGATTTTGTTGTTTGAAATTTTTGTTTGAAATTGTCGTTTAAAATTGTTGTTTAAAATTGTTGTTTGAAATTGTTGTTCAATGAATGCTAAGTACCTTTAACTCAGTCTGTTCCAACTTTGTTTAAGTTTCATTCCTATTAATTGGAAATAATGCAGTTTCTTTATTTCTGTTCAGTTAGTACAATTTAAAAATAAACTACTAATTTGTAAATATATTTGTAGAGGATTGAAGTTCTCATACACTTGACTTGAATTGGCCAGAAAAAAAGTATTGTGATAAAATATATACAGCTCTTGTATATCTGTGTATTTGTTATTATTATAAATACAAGTTTTCTGAAAGCATTAAAAAAAACAATGTCAATATTTTTTTTAAAGACCATGGGCAATTAATTTGATTGAAACAGCGTAAAATTTTAATTTGATCAAATTGTAAGTTTTGTTTACATTTTTCTGCAGTTCATTAACAGTTCATCCAGGGCGTACTGTGTCAATCAGTGAAACACTAATTAGTGTTAAAAATTTTCCACAGACTGATTACTTTTTTACTGTAAAATTGAGGTTAGTGATGTTTAGAAACTAATTCTAATTTTAATTACTTATTAAAATACAATACAGACTTGCTAATTGCAACTATGTATCAAAAATAGAACTAAAACAACCAAATACACACTGTGGGCATGGTGATTAACACTCACAATAAGTGATATGTTAAAATCATTGAAAAATAAACTGTAAAACACAGCATCTAAGAAAGTTCTTACAATTTTTGCTGAAGTCAGGTCAGGGTGCAAGGTCAGAAGATTCAAACACATACTAAACACATTTTCTAGTGAACTCAAAGGCAAAAAAATGTCAAAATTTATAAAGGTGTTAAGTCCTTTATTTTGTTAAAAAAAACATTCTACACATAATATTTATCAGTTGATGTATGCTTGTATGTGTCCTTGAAAGAGTTATTAGTTTTATTTACCAATTTTGTATCTCAATCAGTATGAGCGGTTTGTTAGACTTAATTATTTTTTAATTTAGCGACCCACCTGAGCAGGATGTAGATGTGACATGTACAACAACTCCAGGAAGTAAGATTCTAGTTTTCTCTTTCATTTAATATATTAGGATTTACCTTCTTATAAGGTTCATAAAAAAAAGCAAACCGTTTTAAATAAATAAATTTAATATATGATAGTAACGGATAATGATTCCTTCCACCAGCACTTAAACAAGCTGCTTAAATAATTTTTCCTCCCATAATTCAGCTCCTGCTCTTCAATTAAAGATAAATCCAAAAAAGATTTCCAGTGGCAAAGTAACAGATCAGGTTTTGTAAAAAGTTTAACTCATTTTTAGAAGTTCACTATGTGGATATTTTAAGGGGTATAAATTCAGCTAAATTGATGTTTTATTAGTTGTAAATTCAGCTATGTAGGTATTTTATAGGGTATAAATTTTTTTGACTATGCCGGCATGGAATATAATTACAGTGATTTGTGTATTTAAATACTCAGTATTATGCAACATGCTCATTATATTTTTTTTATTAGCCTGTTGGCTGTTTATAATTATATTTTGTTTTCTGTAGGTGTCATATAATTTTGTTAGTGGGTCTGAGAACTCATCAGTTACTGTGCAGTGTTCCGGAAATTCAGGATTTTCTGGAAGTGGTAATTCTGGTAGGTTTTGTTTTGTTTTATTGCTTTTGGTACAAAATCTATTGTTGTTGGGTGTTTTTCTAAACCTCCCCTCACATTGGTGATTTTTTGGTAACATCTTTTTCAAATAAAAATTCAGTCGATATCCCATATTTTCAATCTCAGCCTACTTTTTGAGTTCTTTAAAATAATAAACATTTTCAATTTTTTTTACGTTTGACTGTAGAAACCAAACCATTTATTTCATCTCTGCCTTTATGTGAATTCCAGTTTTTAAAAAACTGTCCATGTTTTTAAATTCCCCTTACCAGCCAGGTTTGTCCTGCAAACTGCCCAGGCCAAATTCCAGGCCATCAGGTCGGAGATCTACAACACCACATTCTCAGTGAGTTACCATTGGTCATTTTATCTGTAGTCTTTTGTCATTTAAATTCTTAGTTTTTAAAAATGTTTTTTAAATATGCACGTTTCAAGAACAAATAATATTCAAAAGCCTAAAAACAACTTATAAATATGCCAAGTAAATAGTCATTTTAAATTCTAAGTTTTAAAAATATTTTTTAAATATGTAAGTTTTAAAGTTTTAACAATAACTACACAAGTTTCAACAATAAATAATATTCAAAAGCCCAAAAACAACTTTAAAAATTAATAATATTTGAAAGCTTAACTATAAAAAGCATAACATTTTCCCCATTCTTGCATAAGATATACAGGTCAAATGACCTCACCATACTGGTAGTCAGCATATTGTTTCCCTAATGTGAGTCAGGTACCCATCACAGCTGGGTGGACTCAGGGTCGTCCTACAGACTCAAGCAAAGGATCCGAACTCAAGACTTTTGAGTTAGCAGTCTAGCTCTCTACCGCTCAACCATACCATTCCTACTATGAAAATAAACTACCTACAAAAAATGAGAATGGTATTGGAAAGATAAATATTGCCAGTTAAATAACCAAATAATTTTCCTTTACCTGATATCTGATGACAGCCTGTGTTCTACCTGAGCGACCTCCCAGAGAAAGGATCTGTGACAGTTTCCTGCTCTGCCGCTGTGGTTCCGGACTTGACTGCAGCTGAACAAAACGTTGCCTCACCTGATTGTTCATTCACTAGTTCAACCAGTAAGAAATTTTAGTTTGTTTTGTGGACTTTAAGAAGAGTTAAACTTTTTATTTTGTTTATTACTCACCTGGGATTGAGTCTAGACTTGACCCTACACGTCTTAGTAGTACAAATTTGTTCTATCAATGAATGGGCACTTGTTGTTAAAGTTGTAACTTAAATTTAAGAGGCTTTATCTCTATCATTATAGTATGTGTAGCCTATATTCATACTTATGTGCATAATTGTTACACTGTAAAGTGATGATGATTTAGGCTCATGCTATGGATGTGAGATTTGGTTAGTACTAAACATATAAAAATTAATAACATAACATTCTTGTAAATAAAAAGTATGCCTGTCTTATGAATTTTCCCCCAAGGGGAGGCTATTCTAAACTATTGTTTCTTCTAAATTAGTTTTAGCAAATTATCTATTAGTTGGCTTAAGTCTATTACTCTTAATGCAGTTTTCTCATTTTAATTTGCTAAGTTTTTTACAGTAGTCAAAAGTAGTTTTATGTTTAGTGTAATTTTTTTTAACTCAACACAATATAATGTAAAAAAACTTTTTACTCTTTTTTTTTTGACAAAAAATTTCTGGTAAGTTTGAAATATTTTGATCCTTTGCTTTTGAAGGGATGCTTTTAAAAAAACTACTCACATATTCTCTAGTCTGACCTGCAGTTGTACTAATATTAACTGTAACCACTGTTTGTGTTGGTGCTTTTCTAATATGGGATAAAGTGTAAAGTCCTGACTGCTTATAAAGTCATGTTGTTTATAAATTAGTCATAACTGCTTATAAAAGTCATGTTTTAATAGATTAAAGTCATAGCTGATAATAATGTCATGACTACTTATGCAATCAAGTCATGGCTTAGAAATAAAAGTACCCTTTAAGAGGTCCATGGGTTAGTAGTCATGTGCTCTACTGCTTGACCACACCATTCCACAAGTCTTGGTTTTTTATACAGTTAAATCTCTACTGGGTAGATCTGTAAATGAAAACAGTTTGAGTTTGTTTGTGTTTAAAGTTTAATGGGCATCTAATCAATGTGTGAATTTTTGACCGTAAAATTTTAATTATGAATGATGTGTATTATACAACTGTAGTATGTGCTGCTAATTTTGTAAGTTTGATATGTCAGTCTGTCTTATTCTAAAATTTAACAACAGTATTTAACAGGTTTCATTTGTTTCAGAAAAACTGATTAAAATTTTTATTCTTGCACTTATTATGCTTAAACATGCATTTACAAAAAAAAAATGATTCTGTTCATATAGTATATTGTACAAGAAAAAACCATATTGTTTTTGTTTATCTAAAAACTACTTACATTTGTAGTAATACCATATCTATGCTGGTCAAGTCTAAATATGTTTTATGTGTTCACAGCCTCTACCACCACTACCACTACTACCACAACTACCCCAACAACTACAACAACCACCACAACAACTGCGACCACGACGGCAACATCTTCACCAAATGCCTCCACAACTGTACCGTCATCTCCGACTACCTCCGCTCGCACCACCCCAGCTCCCACCCCGCCACCTGACCCGACCTCGCCCTGGAGTGTCATGAAACCCAGTTTTGATATACCAGTAAGTCCGTCCTGAACTTTTTACATCTTTGTTTTGTTTATCTTTGTTTTGTCTTTGTGTCACTTTCACTTTGTTCATCTTTGTTTTATTTTTATGTCACTTTCACATCTTTGTTTTGTTCATCTTTGTCTTTGTGTCACTTTCACATCTTTATTTTGTCTTTGTGTCACCTGTACATTATTGTTATATCTTTGCATCACCTTACATCTTTTTTCTATCACCTGTACATGTATATATCTTTATATCACCTGTACACCTTTGTTATTTCTTTGTATCACATGTACAAGACTCATGGGACAGATAAAGTAGAGTTTAACTGCTTTAGAGACCTCAGCATATAAAAGGATAGCGTGGTCAGCACTATGCTCAGTCACCTTTGTTTACCTAATGTGAGTTAGGTACCCATCAGAGCTGAGTGGACTCAGGAACATTCCACTGATTTGAACCCGGATTCGAACTTGAAACTCTCGGTTTAGAAGTCTAGCTCTCTACGGCTAGGCCACACCATCCTCACCATAAATTAACATGAGGCAACTTTTATTTTAACACCTTCAATGAATTGACACCAATGTTTAAAATATTTGTATTCAGAATAAACAAGGTCAAGTAAGCTTGCCATTTGTCAGAGTGACAACAGAACGTTTGTACGCTCCCATTGACGTACGTAAAGAAATCGTGGTCACTACATGCTGTGTGGGGGTGAATAGCTCCAATCCTTTTGTTGGGCAGAGGGCTGCAAGCTACGCTGTAGCAAGTCTGGCACCGTATGTGTGTCCTAATTGTCCTGCTGGAAGTAAGTCCTCAGGATCCTCCTGTGTAAGGTCCTATTTTTATCTCTTTAGGACAATATTGAGCTTTATTTATGGCTCTTTAGATTATGTTATTGATATATTTTTTATCTCTTAAATTAGTTCCCTTCTTCATGAACTAATCTGTAATATATATTTTTGATTATTATTTTCGTTTCAAAATTTATTTAAAAGTACAGGAATGTCTAGTCTTATTTTTATGTTTGAAAAATATCCATGGATGGATACATTACTTACTACTACAAAATCACCTTCAGTATGATAGTTGTAAGTTATAAAGGACTCTATTGAGACCTTAAAGTTGCTATGAAAGAGGAGTTTCAATTGGTCTTTGGCTAAGGCATATTTAGGGTTAATATGGCTAGGATGGTGGCTAATCTAGAGATGGCCTTAATCTAAATGTTAAAGAAACAGATGAACTCTACTTCATCTAACCTATCGGTATTGTTCTCTGTAAGCAGTGTGAGCCTTCTGGATTGACAGTGTATTTTACTTATCACTTACAATGCTTGAAGGTGTCCCTGAATTCACCCAACTGTCACTATTACAAATGTGGTTGGACATGGACTAACCACACAATTACGTCATACGCTCGGGTCATGTAAAAACAACTCTTACTTCACATTGTCCACACCCACCCTATGTCACAGTTTAAATCTCAAGTCTTGCAGATTTGTAATGCTCAGTCAACCACACTTGTCTCCATTAGTTCCTGCTATATCCCCCAGACTCTCCATTAGTTCCTGCTATATCCCCCAGACTCTCCATTAGTTCCTGCTATATCCCCCAGACTCTCCAATAGTTCCTGCTATATTCCCCAGACTCTCCACTAGTTCCTGTCACATCCCCAGACTCTCCATTAGTTCCTGCTATATTCCCCATACTCTCCATTAGTTCCTGCTATATTTGGCCAGACTCTCAATTAGTTCCGGCTATATTTGGCCAGACTCTCCATTAGTTCCTGCTATATTCCCCAGACTCTCCATTAGTTCCTGCTATATCCCCCAGACTCTCCATTAGTTCCTGCTATATCCCCCAGACTCTCCATTAGTTCCTGCTACATTTGGCCAGACTATCCATTAGTTCCTGCTTTATTCCCCAGACTCTCCATAGTTCCTGCTATATCCCCCAGACTCTCCATTAGTTCCTGCTACATTTGGCCAGACTCTCCATTAGTTCCTGCTACATTTGGCCAGACTCTCCATTAGTTCCTGCTACATTTGGCCAGACTCTCCATTAGTTCCTGCTATATCCCCCAGACTCTCCATTAGTTCCTGCTATATCCCCCAGACTCTCCAATAGTTCCTGCTATATTCCCCAGACTCTCCATTAATTCCTGCTCTATTCCCCAGACTCTCCATAAGTTCCTGCCATATCCCCCAGACTCTCCATTAGTTCCTGCTATATCCCCCAGACTCTCCATTAGTTCCTGCTATAACCCCCAGACTCTCCAATAGTTCCTGCTATATCCCCCAGACTCTCCATTAGTTCCTGCTATAACCCCCAGACTCTCCATTAGTTCCTGCTCTATTCCCCAGACTCTCCATTAGTTCCCGCTATATCCCCCAGACTCTCCATTAGTTCCTGCTCTATTCCCCAGACTCTCCATTAGTTCCTGCTCTATTCCCCAGACTCTCCATTAGTTCCCGCTATATCCCCCAGACTCTCCATTAGTTCCTGCTATATCCCCCAGACTCTCCATTAGTTCCTGCTCTATCCCCCAGACTCTCCATTAGTTCCTGCTCTATTCCCCAGACTCTCCATTAGTTCCCACTATATCCCCCAGACTCTCCATTAGTTCCTGCTATATCCCCCAGACTCTCCATTAGTTCCTGCTCTATTCCCCAGACTCTCCATTAGTTCCTGCTATATCCCCCAGACTCTCCAATAGTTCCTGCTATATTCCCCAGACTCTCCATTAATTCCTGCTCTATTCCCCAGACTCTCCATAAGTTCCTGCCATATCCCCCAGACTCTCCATTAGTTCCTGCTATATCCCCCAGACTCTCCATTAGTTCCTGCTATAACCCCCAGACTCTCCAATAGTTCCTGCTATATCCCCCAGACTCTCCATTAGTTCCTGCTATAACCCCCAGACTCTCCATTAGTTCCTGCTCTATTCCCCAGACTCTCCATTAGTTCCCGCTATATCCCCCAGACTCTCCATTAGTTCCTGCTCTATTCCCCAGACTCTCCATTAGTTCCTGCTCTATTTTCCAGACTCTCCATTAGTTCCCGCTATATCCCCCAGACTCTCCATTAGTTCCTGCTATATCCCCCAGACTCTCCATTAGTTCCTGCTCTATTCCCCAGACTCTCCATTAGTTCCTGCTCTATTCCCCAGACTCTCCATTAGTTCCTGCTCTATTCCCCAGACTCTCCATTAGTTCCCGCTATATCCCCCAGACTCTCCATTAGTTCCTGCTCTATTCCCCAGACTCTCCATTAGTTCCCGCTATATCCCCCAGACTCTCCATTAGTTCCTGCTATATCCCCCAGACTCTCCATTAGTTCCTGCTCTATTCCCCAGACTCTCCATTAGTTCCTGCTCTATTCCCCAGACTCTCCATTAGTTCCTGCTCTATTCCCCAGACTCTCCATTAGTTCCCGCTATATCCCCCAGACTCTCCATTAGTTCCTGCTCTATTCCCCAGACTCTCCATTAGTTCCCGCTATATCCCCCAGACTCTCCATTAGTTCCCGCTATATCCCCCAGACTCTCCATTAGTTCCTGCTCTATTCCCCAGACTCCAGTGAAGAGCGTGTGGTCCCCAACCCTGGCTATGTTGAAGTGTCTCCCTGCAGCTGTGACCTCACCAAATATGCTTGCGATATCAACTGCTGTTGCGATACTGTACGGCACTCATTTAATTCATGATTTAAAAAAAAATAATACTAAGAAATATAGTATTATGTTTTTTTCCAAAATTTTATCATTAACGAAAAATGTAAAGTATGTTAAATAAATTATTTAAGTTCTCAAAGATAATTAGCATTTTGAGGTAAAAATCAACTCATTTCAAGTCAAGATGTTAGCATAAAACATTTCAAAAAGAAATTATTTAAAATTTCAAATCAATTTTAGTTTATACCTGATGGTTAGGCTTGACATACTTATCAATTCCTCACACTGTGTTTAATATACCACATGATCATGCAATATCATTTCTCACACTGTGTCTCATATACAACATTATCATGCAAAAATCATTTCCCAGGACTGTGTAAACGCAAACGCCAGATTTAGTGGGTGCATACCTGGCCTACCTGGGGGTCAGTCCGCAGATGACCCGGAGTACAAGTGCTCGTCCAGGGCGTTCAACCCACCTGACTGGCAGCTGCTCACCTGCGTCTACTGGGAGAAGAACGCCTACCTGGGGATGTTCTATCAGAACAGGCGCAAGCTGGCGGCTAGTGAAACTGTTGATCTGACCGGACGCTTCTCGTTTAGGTACTCTGTCCTTTTTTTTAAACTTGCCTGTGGTCATGGTTACAATATTTGTTTTGATGTTTTATTATCTTATTTTAAAAAATTGGGGATTACAACAAAATAGAATATATGTCATAAATTCTTTATTTAATCCTTTAACTGCTGTTTTTTAACTCTATTTCCACTTCCAGTTTTATACAATTAGTATATTCAACTATTACATTGTGTAATTTCACTAAGGGGAGCAACCTAAGAAATACATAGAACAAGCCAATAAGAGTGACAGACAGGGGAGAGGGAAATAAATAATTTTTTTTGTCCAGATTTAAACATTTGCATATTTTTTCACTTTTATGAATGTTGTTGCTCAAAAAGTAAATAAAAAATATTCCAGTGAGACTGAGAAAAGGAGTGGAGACAGTATCCAGTCTGGATATCGCTATGGAACAATCATCCAGACCATCCGTGATGATGTGACAGAATCAGAGCCAACCAGAAGTGGCTCCCTGGCTCTGTCCCAGTCAGGCCCTGGCGGCTCCTGCAACCCTCTCAGCCCAGTTCAGTTCCTGGTTTACTCCGCCTCCGTCTGTAAGACTGTGGTCACCCCCGACTCTTGTAGTGAGCTGAGTGTTGTCAGCAGCAGAATTTATGCTATATCTTCAATAGTCAGTGGAGGCTCCCACAGGGTGAGTCAAGTTATTTTTAGAGCTGAAAGGAAAAACTTGAAAACTTTAACCATATCACGAAACAAGTTTTTGATTTTTGAATTACTAATTTTAAAAATTATTAGATCTATAGTATATTAATTTTCAGAATTATTAGATTTCAATTATTAATGCTCTTAATTAAAAAACTTCAAAACTTTAACCATATCACGAAACAAGTTTTTGTAACCTGTTTTTTATTTTTAATTTCTAATTTTAAAAATTATTAGATCTATGGTATATTAATTTTCAGAATTATTAGATTTCAATTATTAATGTTCTTAATTAAAAAACTTCAAAACTTTAACCATATCACGAAACAAGTTTTTGTAAACTGTTTTTGATTTTTGAATTTCTAATTTTAAAAATGATTAGATCTATGGTATATTAATTTTCAGAATTATTAGATTTCAATTATTAATGTTCTTGATTCAGATGTACCATAACAAAATTGTACTATAGCAATTGCGTACATTATCTCTATCCTCTTGTGCAGCTCTTGTGTTTTTGAAGTATACTTTTATCAGTGATGGTAAAATATGTTTCTAGATTGCTAGTACAGTCAAGGCTAGTACAGTGGCACCAACTGATGTCAGGTACTACTGCATAGCATATACACCCTCAAGCTCAGCAGGACTTGAAAATTCTGATCCGCTAAAGGTTTCAAACTTCCCCAATGATTTAGCAGACGTCAACTGTACAGATGGCTGCTCATCTGAGGTAAACATTTCTTTTTGATCCCTTCACTTCATCAACAAATAAATATTTGCAAGTTGAATTAATAAAAACTTATCCTTAAATGAATTTAGTCTTTCACTTCAGCAACAAATATTTGTTTGTTGAATTAATAAAAACTGTTCACTAAATGAATTTAGTCCTTCTCTTCATCAACAAATATTTGCTAGTTAAAAAAAAACAACTGATTACTAAGTGAATTTAGTTTTTCACTTCATCAAATACTTGCTATTTGAATTTATCAAAACTGTTGACTAAATGAATTGTGTTGGAAGCGCGGTCGGCAAAAAGCTCATGGTTGATAAATTCGAACAGTCTCGAGTTCAAACGCACTGGCAGATAAATCTCGATCCCCTTCAACACTAATAATTAAGAACGAAGAAGAAGAAGAAGATTCATGTTATCATAAATTTGCTAGTAATATTGGGCCTTGGAATTGGTAATTACTTGGTAGTTGTAGTGTATTGAGGGCAAAAAGTATTACTTTGTGGCATTGAATGTGGTCCAGCAAATGTGTTTAATGTAATTAAACAGATGTTTAAAAACTTAAGTGGCAGTTAATATAGTCATAAGATGTTTTACCATGCCATATACTATTGAATGAAGTCCCAAAGATGTTTTAACCCTTGTCAAACTGAATGTAGTCCTGCAGAAGTGTTAACCCTTTGTGGCACTGAACGTTATCCAATAGATGTATTAACTAAAGTTATACAGTAACCATGGAATGCTGTCTTTCTGAAGCCTTAACCCTTAGCTTACACCTTTATTTGTAGTTCTAAAGACATCAAAACCTTTTATCATATAGAATGTTGTACTTAGGATATTTTAACCTTTTTAATATTGTATTCAGTCCTAAAAAATATTTTAAATCCTTTGCCTCACCAGAAATGTTGGAACTCCAACACCAACAAAATCCCAGCAGACGCCACATCTTCTGCTGTACAGTGTGACTGGGACAATGGTTACACAGTGAGGATCCCTACAGTATCTGGCACCATGTGTAATAATGCTGTAGTCCAAGTCAGGTAACTCTATTATCTACACTATTGTTACTCCACTTTTTTATTTAAAAAAATATGTATTGATTGTATTTTCTGAAAACCAATGCTGGATTTTCATAAGTAATTCTTTCATATAATATAATTTTAAATACTTATCATGTTATGGAATTTTATTTTCTCCCAATTAAATTTTGTAAATTAATAATATTTAAAAAATATTTATAAAGTAAAGCAAAATAAAAACTTAAAATGATTTTGACAGTTACAGGCCATTTTAAAATTTCAACACATCAGTTACAAACAAATGGCTCAATCTAATTCATTTTTTGGATTTGATTATCTTCATTAGTAGATTCATTAGCACTGTTTAATTAGTGAAGTTTTTCTTTCTTTTTTTTTGTTTCTCATCTTTTGTTTCTTGTCTTTTGTTTCTCATCTTTTGTTTCTCATCTTTTGTTTCTCATCTTTTGTTTCTCATCTTTTGTTTCTCATCTTTTGTTTCTCATCTTTTGTTTCTCATCTTTTGTTTCTCATCTTTTGTTTCTCATCTTTTGTTTCTCATCTTTTGTTTCTCATCTTTTGTTGCTCATCTTTTGTTTCTCATCTTTTGTTTCTCATCTTTTGTTTCTCATCTTTTGTTGCTCATCTTTTGTTTCTCATCTTTTGTTTCTCATCTTTTGTTTCTCGTCTTTTGCTAGGTACAATTTTGAATGGTCTGGGGAAGAGATCACAAAGCTGACAGCAGACGTGTACCTGGCCAACATTGATATGACCAGCAGCTCTAGGGTGGAGATTGTTCAAAAATTTGATGTCGCATGGCAGGCCAAACCCAACACCACTGTATCCAAGTCTGACAACTTTGGGGACAGCACTCAGCCATATGTTAGGTCGGGTACTTCAGGTAATTTTTTTTATATTTTAACTGTTTTTAATGCCGACACTACAAAAATTTATTCGATTTGTTTGTTTTTAAGTTACAAATGTTTTAAAATCTGATAAAAAAAAAAAAAAAGCACAGATGTATAAGGTTTTAAAAAAACTTGTTTTCAATGCCGAAACTACAAAATTGTATTTGGTTTGTTTGTTTTTATTTTAAGTTATAAATTTTAAAAAATCTGACCAAATTTTGTTAAAAGTGTACACATGTATTAGGATTAAAAAAAATTTAAGTGTTTAAAAACCTGACATAAATTTGTTAACATTATATGACTGTGTCAAGTTTTAAAATTTTAAATGTTTTAAATGTTAAAGTGTTTTAATTTAAAATGTTACAAAAAATTTGACCAAATTTTGTTATCATTACATAGATGTATCAGATTTTTTTTAGATTAAAATTTTTTAAAAATCTGACCAAATTTTGTTAACCCTTTTGTAGGTTATGTCCCAGGAAAACCTTTGATTTCTGGCTGCTCAGCTAGTCAGGGAAATGTTGACACAATCCCACAGAAACAGATGGCTATTTTTAAACCAGGTACTGTTGATTTTTGTGTAGGCAGGTCATAGGTTAAAGGTTACAGTATACAGCTGTTGATAGACTAGCCACTATGGCTCAGCAATTTGTTTTTAGGGAGATTAAAGTAAAATTATCCTGAATTTTTTAAATACATATTTTTTGTAATGTTGAAATAGAAATATATTACTGCTAAATTTTATCTGTTGTCATGAAATATAATTGAATTCTGTAATTAATGAAGAGAAAGGCATTCGGTAATCAAGAAAGAGAAATGTATCCTGTAATTATGAAAGAGAAATTTATTTTGTTATCATGAGAGATGTATTCTGTAATTGTAAAATAGAAATGTATTCTGTAATCATGAAAGAGAAATGTATTCTGTAATCATGGAAGAGAAATGTATTTTGTAATTAATCATGAAAGAGAAATGTATGCTGTAATCATGAAAGAGAAATGTATTTTGTAATTAATCATGAAAGAGAAATGTATGCTGTAATCATAGAAGGGAAATGTATTCTGAAATCATGGAAGAGAAATGTATTTTGTAATTGAGAAAGAGAATTGTATTCTGTAATCATGAAATTTTTAATGTTGATGAGCAGGCGTTGACGGCCTTTGTGAAAATGCCAAAAGGCAGGAGGTGACATTTGGAGATGACATGTCATCTGGATGTGTACTCAAATTAAATTTTACCATACTCAACAATGACTGTGAGCGTCAGAGGTAGAGAACCTTTTTTTAAAAATTAATGATAAATAATTAGTGTAATCTTATGTGATTTCCTTTTATAGACTGTCTCTTTGAATAAGGTCTAGTAATTTTTCAATAAACAGAGTTATCTCTCTTTAACCAAGGAATTATTGCTATTATATTTTATTATCTTGGCCTAAAAAATTTTTTTTTATTAACCAGGCAACTTCTGACCAACCATCTCAATGTTCTCATGGCTGCTAATGTTATTGGTCGCTATGGTTACAACAATGCCAGCAACCCAGACATGTGGATTTCTGTTTTAAGGTAGGCCTACATGCCAGACTTTTTTTGTCATATTAAAAACAGTTTACTAGTCAAAATGCTAACAGGGCTAAGGTATGTTTTTGCTAGTGTCACTATCCTAACAATGGTCTTAACTTGAGCCTTAATCCTCAGACTAGTCCTCACTTTATTCCTAACATGTATACTACCAGAAAAAAAAAAATCTATATTCCATACTGCATTGTTGTGCCTTAATATGTGCACAATACTTTTATGAGAATTATACAGTGGGTTGTAGGAAAATTTCAAATGGCTTCTGCTAGATTTGCTAACCTGATCATTGAGCAAAGTACATTTTTTTCACACATTTCCAAAGTAGCCTTACACTTAAAAAAAAATTTTAAAAAATATTTTAGAAATTTTATATTTTATGAATGTATTTATTAAATTTTGCTAATAATGAGTCTGAAAACGATTTTTTTTTTTACTTTGAGGCAGATTTTTGTTTACTTTTTAAAATGTGACTATAAGCAATACATTTTTTTTTATCTCCTTTGAGATACCAAATTAGATTGGAATTAAATAAAGACAACATTCTTTGTGTGGTTTACTCTCCCTGTAATTGTTTTGGTTCAAGGCTTTTGAAAGAACTTGTTCCAAATGTTTGGTGCTTTTCAAAGTTAAAAATTCTATTGAAAATGAATACTTTCGCACTCATTTTTGGTAAATCACACAAGTTTCTTTGTTTTTAATTTAGCGACTCTAAGAGGATGACATAAACCAAATAGTGTTTGCTTTGTTTCAAATATTAAGTTAACTTAAATACTAATTGACAAAAAAACTTTATTACAAATGTGATACACAAAACAAATAATCAAGTTTTTATTATACCTTTTAAAAAACACTTTAGACAGTGCCAATTGGTTCAGTTATAAATTTTTTTTTCTTTCAAAAGGCAATCTTTGACTGGGACCAGTGACCTGACCACTACCCCTGCTACCACCACTGCAGCAACCACAGCATCCACAGCATCCACCACCGCGGCAAGCACTGCATCCACCACTGGATCCACCTCTGCATCGACGGCTGCAGCAAGCACAGCATCCACCACAGCTGCAACCACAGCTGCAACTACAGCCTCCACCAGCACAACCAAACCACTCCCCTCCCTGGCTGATTCTCTTCCAGGCATCTGCCACCTGCCTACAGGCATCCACCTGAGCGTGATGTATGCCAACACAGGGGCTGTAAATGGCTTCCCTAGATACGAAGTAACAGGGGCCTACATCAAGTAAGCCATTTTAAATATTGATGAGAGTTATTTCCCTTTATTTATACCATTTTTTTTACCTTCTGTCAAACATGAAGTTAGATGGCCTACATCAAGTTAGTCACTTTTAAATATTGTTTAAGAGTTATTTCCCTTTATTTGTCTCACATAACATTCTGATATTTGAATTGTCAACAGTGTAGCTATGAATTATACAGTTGCTTCATTTTGTACCATTGCTAACCTGTAGGTTTTGAGTTTAGTTCCTAGACTTGAGGCTGTAGAACATGTCTTAGTCCGCCCAGCCTTAAAGACAGTTGACTTCAGGGAAAAAAAAAGCAGAGCAAGGTTATAAAAAATAATCCCCTTTTTAAACTCAGTGGTCCATTGGCAGATGAAGTTCATCTCTTACTGTGACTTTGGTAAATAATTGAAAGAATAGTATGGTCAGCACTATACCCAGACACAGTTACTTCCCCTAGTGCAGAGGCGTAGCGACCCTTCCCGGGGACAAACTTTTCAATTTGCACCCCCCCCTCAAGATTTCGATGTGCACCCCCCCCCCCTTTCGAGATTTCCATTTGCACACACCCCCCCCCCCCCCCCTCAAACTTTAGATTTTCACCCCCCTCAACCTTTCAATTTATTTTTACAACCCAATTTGGCGCCCCATAAGGTCGGCGCCCGGGGACATATGTCGTCCCCCCCCGCCCCCCCCCCCCCTCGCTACGCTACTGCCCTAGTGTCAGTCAGGTACCCCTCAGAGTTGAGTGGACTATAAGGCTTTCAATAGACTTGAGCCCTGGATCTGAACTCACAATATTTGGGCTAGCAGTCTAGTGCACTACGGCCATGTCATGATGTCCCAAGGTACTACCACATAATTCTTTGTATTCCTATTTTTAAAAAAACTGTTCAACTCTGCTTCATCTGTTTTTGCCCTATGGTCTCTGTGGTGTGAAATACCTTTTGCTTCAACTCTACTTCCACCAGCTACACCCAGTCCAACTGGACCCTGGACTGTATGGGCGCCAACAGACATCGCTGTGATGCTAATTCTGGCTCCACCCAACAATTTTTTGTCACCAGCAGCATCAGGTTCATTCAAGTCCCAGCAACTCTTGCCTCCACACAGAGCAGGTAAGGGAAACAACTGGCGCATTCTATTTTATTAACTTTAGTTTACTATTATCATTAGAAATATATTAAGATAAATTTGTGGTAGGGAAATATATATTCTGTAATAATGTTTTTTTTTTATTTGGCCCAAAAAAAAGACATCATACCTTTTATGCCAATTTTTTCCCAAACCCAATTTTTCTTTTATTCAAATGTTTTTTTTTAATATTAACTGTTAGTGATCAGGATTGAATATTATAAACTTATAATTTAAAAGTGTTTTAACCGGTGATAAAATAACCTTACTACATATATAAAAAAAAAATGAAAAAATATATAAATATAAAAGCAGTATAATATTTTAAAAAAATACTCGCCTTCCTCCCTCCATTCCCTATAATCACAGAAGTCTGACAAAGTCTACCCTTATGTACTACTTTCGCTAGTGTTATTCCATAATTGACATTTTTTTCTCCTTCCCGTGTCTGTAGATTCTATACCCGCTGTGACCCCGACAATATAGACTCTGACAGCTGCGAGAGGTTTTTCACAACTTTTGCCAGCGGAGAGTGCTACTCAGATTCCTGTTGGCGGGAACTGGCCTACCCTGTGTTGTCTGTGTACATGGGCGAGACACGCATGTACACCCTGCCATTCTTCCTGCTCTTTGTCCTGGGGGTCATAGGTTATGTGTCTGTTGCTAGGCCTGGCTGGAACTAATTGTGTGTGTGTTTGTATATGTGCATGTATTTCTGTTGCTAAGCTAGGATAGAACTAATTGTATGTGTGTTTGTATGTATGTGTGTGTATGTGTTTCTCTCGCTAGGCCTGGCTGGAACTAATTGTGTGTGTGTATGTGTGTTTATGTGTGTGTATGTGTTTCTCTCGCTAAGCCTGGCTGGAACTAATTGTGTGTGGTTATGTGTGTGTATCTATTGCTAGGCTAGGGTAAAACTAATTGTGTGTTTGTATGTGTGTGTGTGTTTCTGTTGTTAGACTAGGGTAAAACTAATTGTGTGTGTGTGTTTGTATGTCTGTGTGTGTGTTTCTGTAACTGGGCCTGGGTGGAACCAATTGTTTGTGTTTTTTGTATGTATGTGGGTATTGCTGTTGCTAGGCTAGGATAGAACGAACAAAGTGTGTGTGTGTGTTTGTGTGTGTGTGTGTGTGTGTGTGTTTGTGTGTGTGTGTGTGTGTTTGTGTGTGTGTGTGTGTTTCTGTTACTAGGCTAGGATGGAACTAATTGTGTGTGTGTGTTTTAAAGCTATGGTCAGGATAGAATGATTTGTGTGTATGTATTTGAGATATAAGACATGATGGAACTAATCGTGTATGTGCATGTATGTTTAGTGTGTGTAAGGTATACACACATGATGTAAGCTCCACTTTCTATTTATTATATCTGTTTAAAAATTATATGTAAAATTGTGTTAGGAAGTTTGGGCCTAGAACAAAAAAAATGGTGTAATTAATCAGGCTCAATATTATTTTAGTTGTAATTAAAATGTATCTGTTAATTATTACTTGGCTGGATGTTCATGTTTTATGTATTTTGGGCAAACTGTATAATATTTCAGTAGTATTCATGCAATCAAATTGTTCTTTTATTTTTATCCAATTCTTGTATTTTCCTATCAGTAAACCATCTAAAATGGAATAGTTCTTGTCTTATAAACATGTGATGAATATAACCCAACCTGTAGACACTAAATTTGACTTAAGTTGATGAACATTGAAAGACAAGAGATATTTAATGACTGTGCTGATTGTCTGAAATTTGGAAGTTTTTTATCATTCCGTCCTTTAAATGTATTTATTGTACATTAATAAATAGTTTATTTTTATATTAAAAATGTTTCCTTGTTAATTGTACTTGTATGTACTTGAATGTGTCTTAATTTCTTTACAATTTTTTCCTTAACTTAACGAGGAACAACTTGGTAATATTATTTTAGTACTCAATGGCTCAGGTAGTAAACGCTATAAAAACTAAGGGCTATAACTTTTGATTACAAATGGTAGGTAACTCTGTGAACATTTATTGGAATTGAAGTAACTAATTAGTTGATTCAATTTGTTAATTTTAATATGGTATATTAATCTTTTGTGTTTGACTGAAAACTAAGATATGCTAATGAGGAAATGGCATCGGGGAGAAAAGGCAAAATAATTATTTCGTAAGTTACACTAAGCTGGCATGTTCACTGAACCCAACCTCCCAACCCATATGCATTGATCAGACATATATTCAGATCTCACAGCGAATGATAATACTTTCGACTACTTATGGAAGTGTCTGATTTTTAGCTATTTAGTTATTTCTTTACTATAAAAAGAAAATTATAATACTCTTTAATCCCCAATTCATTTCAGCTCTACTTTAAAAAAAAAAAAAAAATTCCCACTCTCCCCCCCCCCCCCCCCCCCCCCTCGTCCCCTCAGCCCACCACGCCGAGAAAAAAAATCCCTTGAATCATCATTTAAATTTTAATTACACATTTGCATTTTCAGTTTCAGGTTGGTTTTTACTTTTTATTTTTTCTTTATATTTAGACGTTTTGTATTAGATCTATGTATAAGTAAGCCATCTTAAATGAATGAAAGCAGGCTACAAGTAAGAAAGAAATATTACTATTGTAAATCTGTATCAGTCCTCACAAGCCGATGATGAAAACTGTAATACTAAAGCGAACACACAACTGACGCTATAAATTACGTGTCTGAGGCAAAAAAAAAAAAAAAAAAAAAAAAAAAAAAAGAAAAAAAAAAGTTATTTCTTTGCTATGTCACCAATACTGTTCAACGTGTAAATCTCATTGCATTTTGACCAATGGCTATTTCATTAAATATTTTTCTCAAACAAGTTTTACATTAAAAAATAACTACAATTCACGTGTAACGGGTACCGACGTCTAGTGTTGTACTAGATACCACCCACGCCCCCACCTCCCAACCTACGCAACAGCGTGACTCAGCCACACGTGAAAACCAAAAGTTGACTAGAAAATAAAAACTAGTCACACGGCAGCCTAAAGTTCCGGGTTCAAAATTTCCGAACGGGATTTCCCCTATATTGAAACAACTCCAAATAATAATAATATCCAGGATGTCGTTATTTTCCGGATAATCCTAGTAGGCCTACTTGAAAGCCAAAAACACTCTCAACAAAACTCTTGAACTTTGAGAAAAGCAAATCCTTTTTTTATAATGTTATTTTTGGTACGATTTTTAAAACACATATAGACATTTATAACACAAATTATATCTTTATGTTCAATATCGAAGAAAAAAACAGAATTGATCTAGTACTCTTAAGAAATAATTAAACTTTAATTGGATACACATTCCGGGGGTGGGGGGGGGTGGTGGTACTAGGGAGGATGTATGGGGTTGAGGACAGTGAGGAGGTTGGGGTATTAAAATAAAAATATACGATAATTTCCCCTACTAGATAAAGCCCTAAACTATTTGCGATATAAGGCCCACCACCAGTGTTTCTTCCAGACTTTTTTCTCCGGGGGGGGGGGGCACTTGAAATTTTCGGGGTGGGGGTGGGGGGCGTTAGACTTTCTTCGGGGGGGGGGGGGCGGACACTGTTAAAAGTATATATTTTCTATATAAATTTCATTTCGTCCGGGGGGGGGGGCGGGGCAGTAACCTGGAAGAAACTCTGCCCACCATAAGCCAAGATATTTTATGTTACCCAATCTGTTTTATTTTCTGCAGAGTTTTCATTAGGACAAATAATGGAGTAGTATATTTAAGGATATATATTAAAAATTGGGAGGGTCCCGTCCCGTCCCCCCTCCCCCCTCAACAAGGTGGCGGCCTAAGCTATAATATGTTTAGCTTGTCCACAATCCGGCACTATCTATATGGAGGAGTTGTGTTTCACAAGTTCAACAAGTTTAGAAAAAAAAAGTGAAAAGAAAATTTCCGAAGATCTAAAAATAACCCACTTTACAAAAAGCCTTTTAAAAAGCGGGTTGAGGATAGACCTACACCTACGTGGGATAACCCACGGTCATGTGATCTACTTCAGACAAGTCTCGCTTTATATATAAGACAAATATACTCTCTATATAAATAATTTTAACCAAGGTGACTTGCTGAAATGAAATATTCTACTCTAGTTTTATTTCTCGACTGCAATACTGTAATATAAGCCGTTTATTTTTCTTGAAAATTCTTTATTTTTTCATCGTGTTGTTTCCAGGATTTGCTATTGGTAAGTGTAATTGTTTTGTTTATTTCAAAAGTAGGTCTACACACAGACACGCGCTTGTATTGGATATAGTACGGAGGTGTGTAGTTGCTTATCTGGCGTGTTAAAATCGATCAGGAAATTGACGATAGTTCAATTCATTATCGTGCATTGATAAGAACGCACAGATATTTACACCTGAAGTTTGTGTGTTTGTGTGTATCTGTGTGCGAGGCGCATTTGAGTGTACATTTGTACAGATTTTTTTTATTGTGGGCAGCAGATATCGCAGCCTTTATGAAATAAAATTTAAAAAACAAACTGAAATTTAAGTTAAATTCAAATTTCAAATGTTCGCCTTGTGATGGACTGCTGTTTTTTTCCCCTTCTACCTATGACTATGAGTAGTATATTAGGTCCCTTTTGGAGCGAATTTGGGATGCGCAAAGGTTATATAGCAAAATACTCGGATCGGGATGTACAACGAGATATAGTAAAATACTCGGATCGGGATGCGCAAAGACATATAGTAAAATACTCCCACCACCTGGTGGTGGCGCAGGGTAGGGGGTGGGGGTGGTGTCGCAGCATGGGGTTTGTTTATTTGATTTCTTTGTATGTGTGTTTAATAGTAAACGGAGAGGGGTGGTTGAGGGGAGGGGTGAGTAATGATGGGTTTGAGGGTAGGGGTGTGCTAGTTGTACTTTGTGAATAACATCCATTAAAGATAACGATCAGCCACAGCTGTTACGTATCGACCCGCCCGCGAAGTTTTCAGGGCTGTGCGTTTTAATGGGAATGTATTGATCGCACCCACTGGGCCATCACACCTAATTAAATTTTTGTTATGCTTCACCGAGTTTCCCCCGAGCGGTTGACAGGTTATGGTGATTTATGTGGGTTCGCGAAGCCATCCCACCGGGGGGTATGGTAATTAACGCAAAGCCAGCGTTAAGTGTGGGAACACCTGTTACCACGTTAATCGATTTTACCGATCGCTTTGTTAGCTCCGCGAAGTACATAGGTCATTATGCAACAGCTGTTGTGCGACAGCTGGTGGTGTAATTAGGCCGATCAACCGTATAAATGACCGCGAAAATTTTGTTTTAATCACTTCAACTTCGGACTTCACACCAAACTTCACCGCGACTTATCCAGCCTGAGACGTCTGTTGACTCCTGAGACTAAACCCATGCCAGCTTTACCAATCATCACATCTACCTAACCCTATACGGACCACATCTTTTGTGCGTGTTTATTCTATTAAAGGTAAGGTTAATATTACTTTTGTGTTAAGGGAGCTAACCCCTTTTAATTAATCCTTTTTCTAAATACGTAGTCACAGGTATTTAATTTTGTATCGTACACCGAGGTAAGGTTAATAGTACGTATTGTTTTAAGGTAGCTAACCCTATTAAAATACCTTTTAATTAATTATTTTACTTTTTAGTGTACATCGAGGTAAGGTGAATAGTACGTTTATTTTAAGGGAACTAACCCCATTAAAATACCCTTTAAATAAATATGTATCTAAATAAGTAGGCAACTGTATTCCTTTTTAGTGTACAGTCGACTCATCGACACAGCCGCTCCATCGACCGAGCCTATTGAGCTACCTACCCATCCCTGAGGCATCCACTGAACCAAACGTTCCAACTACATCCAACTACACCACTTTGGATCTCCACATACAGCTAACTTCACGTTCAGCTTAGACGTGCAAACCCGTAGGTACGTTTCGTTTTTTTTTTTTATTTTGTTTTAAGTCTGTATTTTATTTTATGTATTTTATTGTATGTAATTCTTTTTATTCTTCAGCTACCGATCTACCCAGTCATCCAACTACTAGACACGTCGTCAATAATGGAAGCCGGCCAGTCTACCAGCCACCCAGCCATGACCCGTAACAAGTGTGACATATGCGAGCTGGTATTCAGCCGCAGAAACGATTTGACAAGGCATCATGACTCTGTACACGGACGACAAAGACATTCGTGTTCAACATGCGGGAAAGTATTTACACTACTTTCCAATTTAACAAGACACTTTAAGAAAACACACACCAACCAAACATTACTAACCGACACCCCATCAGCAACTGAGAGACAAACCCTCCAACCCCCAACAGCGACTCAAACAGACAGTACCATTAATTCACACACCGATATTTTTCCTGTAGACGGACTTAGGGGAGATGCGTTAGACCTACATTTAGAGGACATAAACGACATTGACTTACCATTAGACGAAATTGACACCCTTTATAACCTAAACAGAGAATTGCAAACCATATACCTTGACAATTGGGATGCCATACAGACACACGGTAATACTGGTAAACATTTATCCACATTCAATTTTTTTCACAACCCATTAGACACTACACCCATAGACTGGAATTCAAAACTTATAGATACAATTTTTACTCCACAAACTAAACGATTCAAAATCAACTACAGCCATCACACCATATTAAAACACAAAGAAACAGGGGAATATAGGTTCTTTCATTCGAGTAATAATAATGCATGCGTCCTTGAGCTACCTAAATTAATTCACAATAGACAAGATTTTAAAGAATTTTTAGATCACTTAAACAATGCGGACATACTTAACTACGCACAACATACTAGGCCGAATACAAAATACATGGTCGAGGTCATACCAGCCACCACCTTTTTTCTCTATCACCTCAACGAATATCCCCTAGAATGACTTCTCACATACATCCAATACAGAAACTCACTTTCAACTTTTACATTAAAAGTCAAGTACACGCAGACAATGTGACAACATCTCCCCTAGACATATAAGACCTTTTAGTTTAGCAACCGTGACTTTAACAAGACTTTACTGTAAATATGTAAATAAGACAGAACCATGACCGAATGCTGATGGGGTTGTTTTTTATTCAATAAAAACTTATGATATAAACGGTCTTGTTGATGTGTGTTATTGTTTTGTTACTTGTCCCTGCAAATTATGTAACTCGGTATCCTGTATAAGATGTATGACTGGAAGCAAAATCAACCATTTAAAACGATGGATCCGAGATGGAAACATCCCTTTACCGCTCTGATCGCTGGGCCAACTGGGAGTGGTAAAACAGTATTTGTCAAAACCTTTTTATCCCAGGTGTCAGAGATGATGGATCCGGCACCCGAGGAAATTTATTACTGTTACGGGGAGTGGCAACCTTTGTTTGATACCATAAAGAACGTTCAGTTTGTGGAAGGTCTTCCTGACTTAGAAAATGGATCAATGGGGGATGGAAAACGTCGACGTCTAGTCGTCATCGATGATTTGATGGCGGAAACAGATGAGCGAATTACAAAATTGTTTACGAAAGGGAGTCACCATCGTAATATTAGTGTCATGTATATTGTCCAAAACCTATTCGGGAAAAATAAAGAACAAAGAACCATCAGTCTCAATTCGCATTACATAGTGTTGTTCAAGAACCCTAGAGACGGTTCACAAATTACAAATTTGGCAAAACAAATGTATCCCGGTCGCGTTTCGTATGTCCAGGAAAGTTTTAAGGACGCAACATCGGCCCCTCATGGTTATTTGTTGATCGACCTTCGACAGGAAACACCGGATAATCTGAGATTACGCAGTAGTATCTTTTCTTACGAGCAGCAAGTCGTTTACGTCCCGAAATAAAAGCAGCCATGTCTGAGTCGGTAAAACAACAAGGTGAGATGTTAAGGTTTTTGGCTCGGGCCAAACCACCCGCCGTGAAAGCCGTTGTCGAAAATGCTACCCCACAACTCGTAAAAACGTTATGCGAGTGCTGTCACAATGTCTTAAAAGGCAACGTTCCCCTCACGCCCGGTCAGAAGAGACGTTTGCGTCGTCACAAAGTGAACTTGAGACAACTTACCAAAAAGTCATTGACCGTCAAAAGACGAAAGCAAATTTTGCAGACCGGTGGTTTCCTAGGTGCTTTACTCGGACCAGTTCTCGGTGTGCTTAAAGGTGTCTTGGGATTTTAAAGATGGCCAGGAAAATGCTTTTAATGGATCCTCGAATATTAGAGTCTATGCAACAAAAAGCATATGTACCACCCGATACACTCAACGATAGTCTACGCCTTTTGGATATGCAAATGGAACATATCTTAAATAGGGAAGATTTGTCACCACACGACAAAGTGAGACAATATCAAAAGACACTACAGCTCTACACGACGCGACTTAGCGATTATAGAAACAAGTCCCTAGGATTAGTCGATGTGAAACCATCCACCGTGAATACCCCAACGACCGAGGTTGAAAAACCACAAGAAAACATAACCGAACCTAAAAAAGAAACGATAGACATAACAGAATCTGAAACTAAAACGAAATCCGGCTCGCCTGACTCTGATATTCGCCCCTCGAAGAAAACGAAGACACACGTAGAAAAAACACCACCATCGAAACGTACCAGAAGTAAGAAAACTAAAACAAGCACTACCAAATGGGACGCGTGGGAAAAAACCAAACACTAAAAAGACATTACTATGATCCTAGTAGACCAGGTGCCTACGGCGGCGTGTTTAAGCACCCTGAAATTGGAACTAAGAAAATTAAAGAATGGTTAAGTCATCAGGATACCTACACGTTACATAAACCTCTTCGGCGACGCTTTCAGAGGCGCGCCACCATCACCGGTGGGATAAATCACCAGTTTCAAGCGGATCTTATAGATATGCGCATGTTACGAAAGTACAATGGTGGTGCTTCTTACCTAGTGACCTGCATCGATGTGTTTAGCAAATTCGCCTGGGCGATTCCGATAAAGAAAAAAACGGGTAAGGCTCTAGCGGAGGCCGTACGTAAAATATTTACTACTAGAAAACCTATAAATTTTCAAACAGACAAAGGTAGTGAATTTGTCAACAAGACATTTTTAAAATTTCTTAAAGATGAAGGCGTTCATTTCTTTACCACTGAGAATGAAGATATTAAGGCGGCTATAGTTGAGAGATTCAATCGAACATTAAAAGAAAAAATGTGGCGGTACTTTACAAAAACAAA